TCAAAAAGGACTCAGAAAGGGAGGTAGATGCATACAGAACAAAACAATGTCAACACAACAGGATTTATGGATTAAAACCCTTAAAAATTCAGATTATTTAATCTCTTTCTATGGGGTAAGGCACATTTCATTTCTTACTCTAAAGTACTGTGGAGTATCAAGGTACAGGCAGACTTTTGACAGATGGATCTGTCAAAAAAAAGCTGTGTTTACAGCCAAAGTGGAAATAAGCATTTATAAATACATCATGGGGCTCAAACTCTCTCCTGAATCTCTTCAAAACCCAAAACCTATAGGTTTATAAGCTTTGGAACTGATCTACTGAAAAATTAAAACTCAAGAGTTTTAGCTCAACATAATCTACATATTTAAAAAGAGTTAATAAATATGTGCTACCTTTCTAGAAATAAAGACACAGACCAAAATAAGCACTTTTCTCACCAAAAATAATCCTAGAGTGTGTATAAACCCGTCTATTTTTCTTCCTCTAAATGGCATATATCCAGAAAGCTAGCAACAAGAGTTTGCACAGGTTCTACGTGCATACTAGAACACACTATTGTTCATGTATTTCATACCTCAAGAGCAATCAGATCAAAGAGTCACCTACCCAAACAAGGCACGCCAAACCGGGAAGCCAGGCTGCCCTTACGCATCCACAGGTAAATACCACCACCTTGTTTCAGAGAACCGTAACAGAATTTGAATGAGCAGACAACACCTACAGGGTGGATTTTTAAGTGAACATTTGCATACCTGGATTTTTTTCACCCATTTCAGTTGATTACAGATGTTCATTCAAAGCTGAAATTGATCCCCTTCACATTACAGTGTACAACGAAGGGAAAATAAGTACACTGCTTAATGAAGATAGAACAAGTGTTTTATTCATTAATTTTACTAGGCAACTTTAACAAACTCCAGCCTGTTGGGTTTTTGTTTTCTTTTTTTCTACTGTACTGATGTAGTACAATGACACAGATAACCTACAAAGTCAGATTTACATGTTCTAGTGATTTGGTATCAGTTGATGCCACGGCTATAAGCCAGCACTGAATCAGCATGCAATTCTGAAGGGAATGAATTCACTGTGGTCCATTTACCATTCCCTCCTGATGCCTCAAAGCGCACTATTTCTTGTAATCATTACAGACTGTAGAAAGAAAAAGTGCAAGTCTTCCAGGCTGCAGTGACTTTGGTACACTAGCAGCAATTAGCTTTGTATCTACCTTTTAATGAAATTCTGCATTCTACAACATCAGCTGAGAAGATCATAAAGAAACAAAACCAAGCTAGAACGCAGCCCAGGCAAGTCAGAAATTTCTAAGTTAGATGTTTCAAACATTCCTCCCTAACTGCTGAGCAATAACTAGTGATGGTGAATACAGCAGTGCATTTTTAAGCCTCAGCAACTTCAGGAATTGTAGCAGAAATTTTCCGTCTTAACTGTTCTTAATAGATCAAGTACTTCTGCAACACCTCAAACCTGTGTGGTGATACAGCACAGAGCCACAACGTCCCACTTTAATAACAGCCAACATTATAATCTACCAGGTTGCATTTTTTCCCATCCGTTTTCCACCTTTTTTTTTTTTACAGCAATACTGAAGTGGCCCAGTCAAGCATTCAAACCAGGAAATGTCCGAATGGTCCATGAAAGCTTTATTTAGGCTCTCTGTACAAGGATCTTCTGATAGAGTCTGATTAGAATGTAACTTGCTTCCACCAGTGCTGCCCATTCAAGACACTGGATGAGTAAACAGGGTGTGAAACTAATGAAGCCACTTGTAAGAGCTTTTCCTTTGTCACAGACTTTAGGAAGGTGTTAACAAAACAGGAAAGGCATCAAGAGAAACCATATGCTTGTGTCTCACAAAGGTGAATACCATTTTAAGAACTCTGTCTTTTTCCAAATCTTGGTTAATTCTCTCCCCACCCCCCAACAGAATTCTCACTGGCTCAAGCACACATCTTACACAGGTGTTTGCTAATAATATTCCTCATTTTCTAGGGGAGTCACCTGGGAAACACAAGCAAAAATGCAAAAAAGCTCGGTACTCACAGCCACTCCCAACGCGGGCAAGAAGCACGTTCTGAAGTATTCCAGTACTCAAAGCACAACATTTATTGGGAACGAGTCACACAGACATCTTACACTGGTTAAGTCTCATCAGTGCTCTTGATGGAACCTGGGCTTTAACTCCTCAGCTGTAAATAAGGTATAAAAATAGCCCTGCAATATGCTGTGTCTACTCCACTGTTACAGCCCTGAATATCATAGAAAACCCCACAACTCTGTTGCAGAAAACAGTTTAAAAACTTGGCACCAAAGAAAACATACGACTACATACCCAACAGAATTTTTAACCATTCCTCATTTAATAAACACCATCAGGCCCATACAAGACATGAGACAGAAGATAGTCAGAAAAATACAGACTTGTGGAATAAGAGACTCCATCAGTATGTAAACACATAGGGAGCTACAGTAAAGACCTAACAGGCAACCTGTCATATCCCAGTCTGAAACCCTGGTTGCTACAATCTTTATAGTTAAATATGCATATATATACTTATATAATAATTAGAATAATATTAATTCATTATTAAAGCAATACAAGAAAATCAGCCACTAAGCCAATTTTCGAAGTATGTCACTGACGACTTGATCTGCAAAGATCCTTCCTCTCCTTACTGGAACAAAAATAAGTTTGTTTTCAACAGGGTCTCTAGAGCAGCACTTTGCATATAACCTACATTATCACACACTTCTATTGATCAGATGCTTTGCAGATACTTTGAGCTCTCACATCCCTTCCCCTTGCTTTTACATGCAGTTTTGTAAACCATGTACAAAGACTCCAAAAAAGTGTATTTTAAAACACGAAAACTTAGACCTCCCGAGTTCACTTCTCTTTGTATTACCACTCAGAAGAACAACAAAACTGCCTTTTTTAGACCAAGATGCAGGGGTAGTTTATTAAAAGCATAATCCACAGATTTCAACACAAAGATTTTGAGTCAAAATTAGTCACAGGTGAATGTCTAGTGCGTTTCATTGATTTGAAGTAAACGGGTAAAATACTTTGATTTGCAAAAATAAAGTGGTGTGTGGATGCAGAGACAACTTTTTCAAATTTCAATTCCTCTGAGGTGTTTATAAAGCCAAATTAGCCTTCTCTTCTCTAGCATGTGATGGTTTTTGTTTTGTGCCTCTCTATGTAATGAGATTACAGGGTTGGCCATTTTATTTTGCCTTTATCTTCAGGTACTTGCAGTTTGGTGCTTGTTCTGGTTCCCAGTGGTTTAGCTGCATAACAATTAAAAGCCAGCTGTGCTCAAACTGCCCTAAATGAGACCATCAATGCTGCCACATCCGTTCCAAAGTCTCAAATGAGGAAACAAGTCACAAATGGATATCCTCAATATCACTCTATTTCGAAGAAATTCACCACTTAATTAGAAGAGCTGTATCCTATGTTCTGTACTCTCTATTTTAATAACTTCTGTCTATATGAATATTGGTGAACTCTTACACAAGACAACGACCTCATCCACTAGATGGCCCTGACGCTCACGATGTGTATTAAAGCTGGCTGAAGGCTTGCACACGCAAGGCAACTTGAACAAGGCACACCTGCACACTCGGGCAACAGCGCAACTTGAACAAGGTACACCAGCAGCCAGCTCTTAACTGGCACACCTGCACACTCGGGCAACAGCCAAAAAGTAAAAGATTATTTTGAAAGAAGTTGATGCATATGCACACAACTCCCTCCACGCAGTCAGCAAAACTCTATTTTCACACTCCAAAATCTTAAAATTTTAGCAGAATGCAGGTCCTTCGTGCCCCAGGATACACAGAGCACGCTCTAAGAATTCAATGTGCTTATTTTCTTGTATAACAAAAAAGCTGTGGAGTAAAGCAGAACTGAGGCACGAAGTTGTGCTGTTCCATGATGTGGCCATATTAAAACGTGTCCTTCACCTGAGATACTTTACCCTGCATACAGCTTCCACCACCCATGGCAGTCACACCTGTCTTTATGAAGCCACACTATGCTATAAAGTAGCAAGACGTGCAAAGTTACAATTAATAGAAGGTTTTTTAGAATTCATTATATAACTGTATTGCAACTGGCATGCAAAGACATCCAGCAGCCCATCTGAAAATGTCTCAGGTAAAATGATTGCCTGTATGTCCCAAACTAACATGATTAATTACACTTAACTGACGGTATCATTTTTTGGAGTGAGACTAAAGAGTACATTTTCAAGACTGGAAAATAAAACCTATTCCTTGCTCAAAGGTACTAATACACACTAAATCAGTAGCACAACTCTTCTGGTAGCCATGTTTCCCTTAGCACTTAAATTGTTAGCGTTTTGGGGGGTTTGGAGGGTTTTGGGTTTTTTTGCCCCACACTAGATTCAGTCTGCAGAATTAGTGGAAAGTGCACATTTCATGCTCTGAGCTGCAGCTACTTTACGAGCAGGTATCTTTAATCTCTCCCCTTCACATTGTGACTTCATGTGTCACTCCGTCTTTTACCCACAAAAATGTTTCTACTGCAAAGTCCGCAGGGAATTGATTATATTTTACTTCACCTACAGTATCCACACATTGTGTGAACTGAAAGATCTGCATACACAGATTTTTAAATAACATACACCCTTTAAATAAGGAAACTGCAAATGCCTATGTTTTCCTTTTGAGGTATTAATCTGTCAGTGCACGGCTAGTGAGGAATTAAAGCAAGTATTTCCATTTACATACTAGTGTTTCAGTGATCCTAAATAAAACTTGGAGATAATAAATATTAAATGACACATGGAAAGTACTATTGCAAGTGCAATGTTTTTCCCTTTCCCCTTTAATATTTAGCACCTTTTCACTATTTTGATTTTGTTTAAAATGAGAGTAGATAAACACTTTCCCAGTTATCTGTTCTTATAATGTTTCTTCTTTGGTCATCCATGTTTACCTCCATCTGATACCTTCAAAACGTTAGTGAAGATCTGCCAGCACCCATTCTAAAATCAGACTGAATATTTAGCATTGAACAAACCTAAAAAAGAATACATGAAAGTGTTTCTAAACATCTGTTTTCCTCAAGAAGAATGTTCAACACAACTCTCAATGCCTCCATTTTTCTTCTTCTGGTCCCATTTGTAGTTCATGGTCAAATAATATTTTCAATTTTCCTTTTAAAGGATCTTTAATTTTGCATTTGATATCAGTTGGAGAAGTTTCAAAATTCGAGTATTTTCACTTAATTCTCTTCAAGTATTTTACTATGATTGCAAAAGGAGAACAATAATTGCTCCACACCAATACTGTGGTTTTGGGTCAATTTAGAAATGAAAGATTCTCAGAAATTAATACCATTTTGTGCTAAAATAACAACTTAATCCTACAAACCTGTTTAAATTTTCCTCTGATTTTTTCCAGATCTTCTTGAAGCTTATCATAAGTGGGGTCTTCATATGGGAATTTTTGAATCATCCCGATTAATGAATCCAGAGCCTTTATCTTTTTGCTACCAAAAAAAAAAATCAAAACAGAAAAAATGAACCTACCACAGATTTTTCTTCAGTCTGTTAATATGAAAATTATACTAATACTTACATATAATAATTCAAAGTATGGAACCCAGCCCTCCAACCTTCTTTAATTCAACTCCTCCCATATGGCTCACTAGGAGTGTGTATGTGATACACATTTAAGCCATAATCAGAAATTAAGCTGTAGCACAACTGACAAAGGTAAGGTTTCCCTTTTAACTTCCCTGCCAAAAGTTGAGAAATATTCAAGAATCTTCAGAAATATAGATTAGATGACTGAGCAAAATAAAGCAATGCAATAAAGAGAGTTTACTAGGATACATATCAGAATGGCTGACAGTATTGTGGCAATGCTGTCAGATATATTTATCAAAACTGGACAGAAAAAAATGGAGGAAAGAATGAAAGACATAGAAAAACATATGTTGGAAGGGACAGCTGGAGGTCATCTAGTCCACCTTCTGCAGAAGCTGGACTAACTTCAAAGCTCGATAAGGTTGCTCAGGGCCATCTAAAAAATTTTTGGAAGGAAACCTACAAAGTTGGGAGTTTTTAGAGTTTCTCTGGACAGCTTGTCCCAGCGCTCAGCTGCTTGCACTGGGCAGAACCTTCTCCTTATGCTCCATTAGAACTTGTTTCAAACTGTGAAAGTTGCCTATTGTTCTTTCACTGTGCACCTCTGCAAGGAAGATGTCCCCACCTTCTCTAGAACTTCCCCTTATGTAGTACAACTGTGTATCTCCCCTGTCTTCTCTCCTCCAGGCTGAAGAAACCCAAGTTCCCATGTCCTTGTTTCAGTATCACTTTGTCCAGCATGTAATACCACCCTTTCTTCTGTTCGTCAGTATTTCTTTGGTACTGGGTAAGAGGCAAAACTGGACACTGTAATTTGAAACAGTATAGTAATTTTTTATAACCTCACCTGTTCTTTTCATCCGTTAATTTCTGGAGCAGACACTGCCACGTCAGTGCAAACCCAAGGTAGGAGCCAATCTGCGAACGTGTAAGAATGTCATAAGGGAAAGAAACCAAACCAGCTTGTAATATACGTAGTCAAACAAAAATAAAGCACTACATTGTATCCCATTCTTCAGGAATCAAATCACTGCATATACAAACATCTTCCTGCACTAGAAAGTTCAGTCCTAATTTATCCTAGTCTAATTTACTATCTGTGTTAATACAGAGTCAGAAAACTTCTCGTAAGAATCTGTTTAGCATCAGAGGACAAAATGCTTAAAATGCAGCACAAAGAGCCTGCAAACCACTTCCGAGTGGAGTGGGAGTGTTTGGTAGTCCCAGTCTTCTGTTAGTCAGGTTTGTTAAAGAACACAGTGGACGTTGTTTTTAAGGCACAAACACGGGTTTGGGAGTTAACATCCCATTAAGTGCTGAAGCATATTTGAAGTGAGGCTTCCAGTTACTTTTTGTTGACAGAAATGTAACTTGCGTGCCCCAAAACTACTTGGAGACCCAAAGTAAACAGAGACAACTGCCAGATATGGCAGTTACCACTGCTGTAAAAGCAAGCTACTGTGGTAAAATGCACCTGGCCCCTGGACCCCGACTTCTCAGGTTAATTTGCACTGTCCTACCACAGGGGAGCAGTGCAAATCTCCTGCTTCAGCCCAAGCAGCTACGTGTCTAAGCCTGCCTGAAGGATGTGCCCAAAACCAGACACGCTTTAATTATAATATCTTACTTTAATTATCTATTAAGCAAGGCCAGCATCAGATCAGAATCACAATTTTGCTCAAGACACAAAATAGGCTGAGTGCTCCAAGGTTACCCAAGTCACTCTTCCTCTCATGTAACGTGACTCGCTGTCCTCTGGAGCTTCCACAATATAAACAGATTAGAGCCCTTCTCTATTATGGTCTGTCTAGGACCATTTGGTATAAAACTGTCTAGTTTTTGAGGCTGCTGTTTAACATTCTTATCTTGGAACTACAGAGTTGTAGCATTAAACAGGAGAACATTTCATCATCATACATCTCTCATGCCCAAATGCAACCCAAAAAATTATGATAAACTGTCAAATTCTGAAAACATGGTTATCTTTTCTACTTCAAAACAGATTAATGCCATTGCTACTGTTTTTTCTGTAGGTAATTAACTTTCTGAAACCTGAAAATAGCAAAAGGGCAAAATGCCAAATTACCCAAAGGTCTTCAATAGATCAGATACATTTAGATTTGTGGTGCTGTACTTGAAATAAGGCCTTGCATTAATCCTGTAGTACAACTTCCCATCGAAGCGGAAAAAATCCAGTTGAGGTACAAAAATACTGTAGCTACATTGTACAGCCCTGAACACACTCCATGTTATAATAAACTTGAGCCAGACATATGAGACAAGTCAAGGTGCCTCACCACCACCCTCTGGTCTTTTTATTTCTAGGGCCACCGTCTGGTAACATACAGAACGGACTCCATCTACTAAAGAATAATTGTGTCTCCAACAAAAAAAATCTCCCTATATTAGAAATAACAGAGAGTGCAACAGAGATATCCAAAACTGCCCCTTTACAGTTCTCCACCCAAGATGTCTCAGCATTCCATGGTTTTGCCTAATGCTGAGCCACAGGAGATGGCACAGAGAGGGGGGAGGGGACACTTTAGCCACAATTTCAGGCTTTCAAAATAAATGTGCAGTTGATCATGGGATTTTTTTTTTCCTCCAACAAGACTGTCTGATTTTGCCTCTTCTTATCATCCGTTTCAGAAAAAAACCCTTAACCCATAGAACAAGCAAGCTCAGAAAACACAAACCCATGTATTTAACTGTTCAAATCAAAATACCAGCTTTAGTTTTATTGGCCCTCTCGGACACATACATAGCAGGCCTCAGACTACCAACGTGTCAGGCTTACGCAACAGTTTCTGTGTTTCAGTAATTTTTTAACAACAAAAACATTGCGATTCTGAAGTATTTTTTCCATTTACCTCAGACCCAATCCTGGCACCATGGAGTGATCCATACCTCCTTCCCTCAACAACCCCAAGGTGAGTGCCTTCAGCATATCCCTCCTGATACCCTTCACCATGAAACCTGTAATGACAGAAGTGTAATTTTTAGCACCTATTTTCACTTCATATCAAACTCACACGGCGCACGAGCAATTCACACAACACCACCATGCTGTATCATCTCTGAAACAGAACTGTCCCTATTCAAAAATATCACATAACGCTGATTTAAGACGCAGTTATGCACACTGTCGTTTTTTCAAACAAGATAATAGTAATTTCCCCAAGAACAAGGCACTCCGGAATCCAGCTCAGTATAACCAGAATAACGCCACTAACTACAAGCTGATAACTCCAGCTCAAGTGGAAGAGCCGAGATCGAGCAGGTCGATCATTCGGCAAGAGAAAAGGGAATTTTTTCCCACCCTTATCCTTCCTCGTCACTTCCCCAGGTCATTACCCGCCCTTCGCCCCTCGCATTTTCCTCACAGTTCCTACTCCCGGCTGTGGAAGGCCAGACCCA